AAATTATAAATTGCCAGTGCAGCACTGTGGTGAGGCAGGGCAACAGTTTGACTTTTGTGTTTGGCAAATGACAAAGCACTTTGTTGGAGGAAGCCTGTCAAGGCAATCTGCAGGGGCTTCTGCTGAACCATGGCATTTCTGAGCTGCATCTCCATGATAAAACCACAGCATCACCAGATCTTTAATGAAAGATGTTAATGCTGCCTTGTGTCATGTGCTTTTCAAACAGCAAGACAAGCTAAAGCTCCTGTATCAGCTTACATATGTTCAGTGTTCCAAGTGGATATTTAAATAAGATGACAATCTGGCACTTATGAGCAATAGGGTTCAATAGGAAATATTTTCAGTGCACTTTTAACTATATAATGATTCCTTGAGAGTTGTTTTGGTTTGGTTTTCTTGTCTAATAAACAAGTATCTCCCCACTTCCCTCACCCTTCCTCTGGCTGGCAAACAGGAATCCAATCTTTGTTGTATCACTGCGCTGATGCTGGTTCCTGACTGGCCAGAAGGGAGCACCCCATGCACTGGGCAGGCAGGACAGCGGGGACAGGCACTGGATGTGTCCTCCAGAGTGACTGTGGCTAAGGGCTGACTCATTGAAAGTGATGGAAAGTTTTCATTAGATTCCATGGTTAGATCATGAGATCTTTTAAGTTCCTCAAAAGCTGACAGTATTATGATCACATGCTTTCATCTCTCCCGAAGAATAACTATTTACCATATCATAATTTTGGATTCTGTTGGAATTAACAATTACCATATGGCTCAAGGGCTCCCATGGCATTATGAGGTTATCACCCATCAGGATGTGATTTCTATTTTATTTTTAATAGATAACAAAATCTATAATATTTCCATTTTATAATAGTCCATATTTAAATATTTATCACAAATTATATTCTGTATTTAAATATTTATCACACATTTCAGAAATGAAACCATTTGTTCCATCCAGACAAATGTGTGCATCCAAAATTTTAAAAAAGACTGATATTTAAATTGTACCATCTAAGCACTGACTTATACAAGAGAATCCAACTGTAAATGAACATAAATACTTGAAAAGCACTTTCATTTACTCATATAACTTATATAAAATTGTAGCTCTGAAGTTGTTTTTTTTAATATTTATAACATTGCACTTGCAAGGCTATTTAAAATTGTAATGTTGACATTTAAAATGTTAATATTTTTTAATACTTGCACAATCTATCAGAATTCCAGTATTTAGTGTTACAGAAGAAGCTTAATTCATCTGAATAGTTCTGTAAATGCACCACTTAAATGTAGGGTCTAGCAATTCAGTGAAATAACCAAGATTTCTCATTTAGGTGTTTTTTAAGCCAGTGAAATTTTATATTGTTTCTGTTAAAATACTTGCATTGTGTTTGTCTGACTGTTTGAATTTTCAGTGTTAACCTAACTAAGAAAAGGTTTTGTCTGTGTTCCATGCCAGTACCTTACAATGGAGCAAATGTGAGGATACCATTTACATGGACTGAATGGATATTTTAAAATTATTGTTTGCTTGAACAGTCGTAGTACTTCTGTTTGCAAGGTATAATTGTGAATTTGCAGGGTTTTATGAAGAATCTTTATGCAGATGCACTACTGATAAGAAGGTATTAATGTCAAGTTAATATTTAGTCTTTTATTTGAACCAGGCTTGGGGTTGAGGTTGTTTTCCTTAAAACAATCACATACTAGATTTTTCCATAAATGCTGAAGATTGCTTTAAATACTCAAAGCTAAAGACCACACCTGTTGCTTGTTAGGTTGTTGGGGTTTTAGTGGTTTCAGTGGTTTCTTTTTTCATTAAGGCTCATTACAGTCACCCAAAGGCCCTTGTATATGATACACAATCGATGACGTGGAAACCCTCATGTAAAACTTGCTAGTAAAATGCAAATGTGAGCACCTGAGGTTAAAGTCTGCTGGAAATGGCCAGCAGAGGATAATGCGTAAGGAGAAGGGAACAGATTGTGGTTTTAAAGTCCAAAAGGTAAGTTACAAAGGGTTATGTTTCATAGTATTTCACAAAACTGGAAGCGATGCCTTGCTCTCAGTTTTGGATTCAGCTGCTCACTTTTTGTGTGGCCTTCAACAAGTTACTAAAGAAAGATGTTCATAAATAGCTTTAGATTTTGATTGCTCAAGGTCAGTCTTTCTTTCCAAAGCATGAAATACAACTGCAGGGACACATGTTCGTCAAGCATGGCATACTACAAGCTGGACACTGGAAATCAAATTAAAACTTGAAAAAAGTTGGTGTAAACGTCTCTCTGCAGATGCAGATCATGTTACTTCCCTACTGCTAACGATTGTTGTGAGGATTAGTTAACTCATGTCTGTAAATGCTTTGGGAGCCTTAACTGGAAAGAGCTGATGAGGTGCAAGGTGTTAATATATTGTACTGAAAGAATGGATGCATGAGAAATAATGAGCAAACCATGGGGGCTGTACTCTGCTAAATACAGCCAAATAAAAATATTTTGACTAAATAAAAGACCCATTTCCTGTTAGTTTTTTTTTGTTTTGTTCTTTCCAGAGCTAATGATCTTGTCCACTACCTGTGCATACAAAAAAAAAAATAGTGTCATCTGATTAAAAGACAGTAGGTAGAACTTGCCCTCAAAATGACACTCGCTCTCTCCAACCTGGACTACATTAGAAGTTGAGCACTTCACCATAAATCCCAAACTGGATTTCTGCATGCTCTCTGTCTTCCTAGATATATTCCTACATAGGATGCTGCGATGAGCTGTGGTTTTTTTCTTCTTATCAGCTGGTCCAGGGCTGCTGTGGATTCAGTCTGAGAACTGATAACTGATAATAGGTGTTGATACCACACTGATGTTTTGGTTGTTGCTCTGTAGTGCTTACTCTCAGTCAAGGAGTGCACAGTGTCCCAGGTCTGCCAGTGAGGAGGTGCACAGAAAGCTTAGAGGGAGCATGGCCAGGACAGGTGCCTCGAATTTTCCATAGGGCAATTCCACACCATAGGATGTCATGCCCAATAACACCCAGTAACTGAGGAAGTTACCTGGATGGTGGATCAGGGACAGGCTTGGCATTGGCCAGCAGGTGGTGAACAACTGTTATTGTCATCACTGGCCTTCCTTACTTGGGTTTTATCTCCTTCTCTCTCTCTCTCCTTTTTATTACAATTATTATTATTATTAGGATCATTATTACTACTTTGTTTTAATTATAAAACTGTTCTTATCTCAACATGAGTTCTATTTTCTTTTCTTTCCCAATTCTCCTCCCCATCCCATGATGGGGTGGGGTGTGGGGAGTGAGTGAGTGGCTGCCTGGTGTTTGGTACCAGCAGATTGGATGCAGCAGAAAGAAGAGGGCCCACCTAAAATTATTATCAAGATTTCAGCATGAAAATAAGAAAGACAAACCAAGAGAACAGTGTTGCATGCAACATTCTTAAGGATGGCCTTTTAAATCTCTGAACAAGAAAATCAAGGATATCTGCAGCAGGATCTGCAAACTGTCAAAGAAAATGACTTGTGCTAAGACTTCTACACAATGAAAAAAATGGAAAAAACATCCTGACGGGGGAAGGGGTAGAGCCTGATGCATTTCAGTTCTTCTGGAGATTGGACAGAATACAGGGGCTGGGCAGTCATGATCCCCTGGTGGTAATTCACAATGTGATACTACTGGAGGATTTCCTGTGAATGAGGACAACTCAAGTGACCACTAGGCTGTGACCACTTTTATTACACGACCACTGACTTCATTAACGACAGTCACATATTCAATGGAATAGAAACAGTCACATCATTGATCTCAACATAAAATTATATGTGGTGAAACACGGAAGATGGACCATATTTCTAGTGTGCTTGAAGAACCAGTTTTTAAACTACTTATAATTGCTTTTGGGTTTTTTTAGGGGGGGTTGTTCATTTGTTTTGGGGTTTTGTTTGGTTTGGGTTTGTTTTTTGGGTTTTTTTTCTTTTAAAGATAAAATCCTATTGATAGTTTGTAAATCTTAAAGCCTAGAGAAGAGGCAAAACTGAGGACTCCTCATCCAGAATGATGAGGATTGCCTGGTAAGGTGTGCCAACAACTTGGGTTGAAGGAGGCCAAGTGCGAGATCATATATCTTAAGGCAACTGATGTATAATTCTCAATGTTATACAACTTTTATTTAGTAAGAGATCATATTTCTGACCACTTGCCTCTGTAAAACAGCACTGTTGATATTTGTAAAGAGCTGAATTAGCTCGTTGCAGGCCTTGGATCAATATATGCCTTCTATACTTCTGGAACTGCTACTCCTTCTGACCTCCGAAACATTGTGCCCATAAATCAAAAAGATGGGGAAAGCTCTGCTATATATAGTAATAATAGCATCTTTCATTTTATTTTTCTGGATGGGATTGGAAAATTGAGTTGTAACATGAGGAAGCAGCTGCGCAGGAAGGGTTTCAAGAAGGAACCTGCCGGTTTCAGGCAGGGTCAGCTAATGGTGCCCTTGGAGGGGTTTTAGCGATGTCAGGGGATGGGGCTGAGCTGGTCGGAGCCGGTGTGCGGCGGGGTTTGCTGTCACAGTCCGTAATGCCACGGGGCAGGCGGGACCCGTGGGCAGCTGACGGGCGGCAGGACGTGAGGCGGAACGAGCCGTTCGGTCATTTTAAACGCGCCGCAGCTCAGAGACAGAAAACGCGCCCTGCGGTGCCTGTTCTCAGCACACCCCCAGACACACCTTCCACCCCCGTAGCACACGGTTACGGCCCGATGTGTCCGTGTCCCTGTCCCAGCGGTACTACCCGGCCCGGGCAGGGCGGCCCCTCTCCCTCGGGGAGCGCTCAGGGCCCGGCCCGGGACTCTGACCTTGCCGGGGACACGGCAGTGCGCCTGCGCAGGGCTCTCCCGCCCTCACCAAAAATGGATGCCCCGCGGCAGCCTCGCACGTGAGGCACCGGCGGGCGTCGCTTCCGCCCTCTCTCTGCCACGTGACGCGCGACTCTTACGGAAGCCCGATGGGGACGCGCAGGCCGCGTTCGGCGGTTGACCCGCGGAGCGCGGAGCGGAGCCGAGGTGCCTGAAGCGCTCCCCGGCCGGGCCGGGCCGGGCCGGGCCCGCAGTGCTGCGCGGCCTCTCCGCGCCGCTCGGGGTGAGTACGGACCGCCCGGGGCGCGGCGGCAGCGCCCCAGCTCCGCGCAGGGGGCTCGGCCTGCCCGCGGCGCCGGAGCCGGCCCTTCCCCGCCCTCACAGCTGGAGCCCCCCAGCCCGTGTGTCCCCGGTGCTGGGGGCGCTCCTGGCGCTCCCAGTGCTTGGAAGCCTTTCGGCAGCGGGAGCAGCGCCGCGTTGGGGGTCGGCAGCGGCCCGGGGGGGTTTCGACGCTCAGCCCTCGCGGGGACACTCGAGGAACCGAGGCCGCCGAGTCCCCTGTGCCCTCGAGCATTATTGTCTGACGACCCTCCCTTGAGGGAAGGAAGGACCTTCCCCTGGTCTGCTGCGGAATGCTCTTAATGCCGCCGCAGCGCAGGGAATATTTGGGTGTATCAGAGAAATGGTTCTCAGAGTGACGTTTTTCTTCTCCTAACGTTCTTCAGTATTTTTATTTTCTGTTGAAATATTTTGTATTAAAACCTTCTGCTGGAGTAAAATAGAATTGAAAGAGTGCAGCCTTTAGTGTTTTGTGACCGCATAGCTTTCTTCGTGTATAATGGGTACGTTTTGTTCATGTGCTGAGGAGATAGGGCAATGTATTTAGAAGTTCAGCACCTGTGACTGTGCTGTGCAGAACAGCTTTCAGCGTTTGGCTGCTCCTGGGGCTCCTTCCCCTCAGGTTGTTCTGTCGGTGCTTTGTTAGAGCACAGCCTCTGCTCCACGCCGCCTCCGTGATGCATGTTCTGACAGTTCTAGGCTCCTGTAATAGGTACTTCGGGTCCTTCATTCGTGCCTTAACTTTGCTCTAAGTCCTCCTCTTCCCCTTTTTTCCTGTCTAAGGATATGTGGACACTTCCCAAAGGAGCACTTTGCAGCTTATGTGCACATGAACGGACGAGCTGTAAAGTAACCACATCAGGAACAAACAGTAATGTAGCTGGAGAAGTTACAGTTTGGTGTCGGCTGTAAAACCTGCCCTGATCTCAGAGCTGGCACAGATATACTGTTACCAGTGCTCATCCTGTATCTCGGGTTCCTCGCTGTGCAGAACATTCCCCGTTGCAGCACAGATATGGCCAATGCCTGCTTATTGCCGGAATGCTGGCAAAGAGTCATCCCTAACATTTTTATGCATTGCTTCATCCTCATCTCTCCTGTTGATGTTCTTTTTTAGGAGAGGGAGAAGGAGGTACCTACCCCTTGCCTCTTGCTGTCTCTTCCTTTGTCCTTCTCTGGATTTCTTCCCTCCCTACCTTCTTTCATTAAATGCCACTGATGCTCATTTGCACTTTAGCTGCTTTCTGTCTATTTATCCTGTATCTGTGATTGTATTTTTATTGTCTTATTGTTCTCAGACTCGTATTCTCATGCCTCTTTAAGAGCTACCTAGGTCTGTAAATATCAATTTTAAAATCCTAATTATACCTTATTTATTATTAATGTTTTTCTGTAAAATGCTTTGTGTAACAAAGACATTACAGAAAACATAAGTTTGTTTTGTTCTCAAGGTCCATTAAAATATTGTTTTTATGTTGGTGAAATCTCACCATTTCTTGTTTTGCTATTCTCTTGTAAAAAGGAGTAAAAACTGAAATCACTTTGACAGCAAATCCAGTTCTCAGTGACTGAAAGTAGACAAGAAGTAGGCAAGAGTAGGAAGACATTGAGGTATTGTATCTATAGGTCCTTGGAAAGTACAGCTAAACCCACACAGTGCTATTTAATGTATAAATAGTTTATAAAGTGACTGTTCTAATTATGGCTTTGTGTGTGTTTTACCTTGTGGCTGGAAAGCAGTTGTGGTGTAAACTTGTGTCCCAAAGCAATGCCAGGTTGTAGGGAAGCTGTGGTGCAAACACTGCTGCAGGGCAGGGATACTTGATTGCCAAAATTAGAGCTGCACAGGTATTTCAAAACGAGAATGTGAGCAAATATTGAAACACCTTTTGTCAAGTCCTGTGAGCAATAAGTGTGCTTGAAGTGCTGCCACTCGATATTCTGGGTACTTTAAGTTCTTCTTAAAATTTGGTCTCTTTTTTGACATTTTTATTCGATGTGGAAGTGCTTTACTCATCAGAGAGAATGTTTTCAAATGAAAAGCACTGTTTGGAATGTGGAAATGTCAGAAGACTTTATTTTCTTCATGTCACTGGCTGATCCAGCCAATGTCTGCAAGAGAGACAAATCCAGCTTCCAAAATCAAAGGATGAAAAAACCCCATGAGAAAGGTTAAGAACTTTGAAGTGGCAGAGAAGTTTAAGAACTTCTTGAACTTCTATGAAGTGTTTATTTCTAACGAAGTGGATTAACTTTATTTCACTTGATACATACAAATAGTGAGAATTAATACGGATGGATTAAATCTGCAGGTATTTTCTTTATAAGTATTTTTTCTTAAAGTTTATATAGAACAGTGACATTCTTGCCTTCTTGCTGATCACTTGTTTTCCTGCTGTGCTCCAGTGAGACTTTGAGATTAATGAGATCCTTTCATTTGATCCATGGTAATAGGAAGTCTTGAAAATAATGCTGAGGATCCCAGGATGGATTGCCAAGTAGATCACATCTTGAATATACTCAGTGTGTGCATTTAAGTGTTACACAGTCCAGATCCTTCTGTGTGCTTCTTTCTGTTGTCTGAAGGTTACTATTAGTTCAAGGTTTTATTGATAAATCTGGAAGGTGTTGCTTGTGTGTGCTGGTGGGAGGAAAGGCTTGTGGGCTGTCTCACCTGCCACGCAGCGTCTCCACACTGAGGCTCAGAGTTCTGTATGTTCAGCTCAGGGAAATGCACACACAGCAACAGACAGAGCCCTGCTGCCAAAAATAGGAAAAGAATGTAGTTGCAATATTAGTGGCAAACCCTGCCTTTTTGCCAGAATAGGTCACTTCATTTAGGAAACTACTTAAGCAACACCACTGAAAGATGTCCTGCTACAGTAAGCCATGCTTCCCACAAGCAGGTTTGCTGGCAAAACTGTATTTACATATTGTGTGTGCACATATATGTCTAGAAACATTTTTTTCCAATCCTAACCCTAAAAATAACCATTATCTCAGTCTGAGCTGTTGGCAAGGCCCCCAGCCATTGAGCCATTGCCTGGATAAAAAGTTTCCCACAACCAATTCCTTGCAGCTCACTGTTTACTCTGGGAGCCCCTTTCCAGCCCCACTCCAACTGTAGCTTTAGAATGTCTCTCTTAACTGAGTCCATAATCATAATCTCAGAATGAGCCATCAGCAAAGTCCACCAGCCACTGCCCAGGTGAACAACTTCTCCCAGCCCTCTGAGGTTCCTTTTGCAGCCTGCAGTTTCCATCAGCAGCCCCTTCCTAGCCCACCTCCACATGCAGCTCTAGGATTTCTTTTTCTCTCAACCTTAAATCCAACTTCAAAACCCCAGTTATCTTGGTCTTTGTCACAGCTCACAACAAATACATCAGTAAGTTTCTCACAGCCCAGTTTCTAGGAAACTCCCCCACTACTTCAGTTGAAATCCCCCTCCTCATCTAGGAAAATGTGTCTATAAAGTATTGGCAAACACTTTTAAATTTAAATAAAGTCTTGTTCTCTCTGCCCTCATCTTGTATCAGTTCTGCAAAAGTAAGATTTTAATTTCCAAAAAAACAGAGGTGAGAAGTTCACAGAATTGCTGTGATTGGGAATGGTTATGAATGTACTCAGTGTTCAAGCTGATTTGACAGGCTGTTGATAGGAACTTTGTCCTTGTAAGATGGGGGGAGGTCTGGATGACTGAATGTGAGCAGGAGGCTGCTGCCCAAGCTGAGCCTTTTGTCATTCCACTATTTCAACATGCAGTTTTGTAAGGCTTCAGCCATTTTCTCAAGTACCAGCACATTGGATTTGTGTAAATGCAAACCAACAACTTAGATTTCTTGCCAATTCTGAATAGATTTCCTATCAATCCTATCAGGGATTTGTTGGTTGTTTGTCTTTCTTTTTCTGCCAGCCAGTGCAAGAATAATACCTTACATGCAGAATTTCTAGGTTTGGGGTTTTTTTGTCATGGCTCACTTTGAGGACCCTCAGTGCAGCTCTGAGCATTGTCTGCAGCATCAATTTGTTCTTCTTTCGTTGCCTGCACCTCTCAGCACTTTGTGACTACACTTCCTATGAATTTTACTGCATAATTTGTTTCTTTAAATAAGTCTCTACCACTTGCCTAGTAATAAGAACAAAGCATTTCCTTTACATACTTTCTGCTGCTTTCCTATATTGCTCTTAGAGGTTTTGGTTTTCTTTTCCCAGAATGAGTGGAGCCGCATTCCCGTCTCCAGCTGCCGAGATGGCAGAAATGAACCGCCTTCAGTATGAGATGGAATACACAGAAGGGATCAGTCAGCGCATGAGGGTCCCCGAAAAACTCAAAGTAGCTCCTCAAAATGCTGACCTTGAAAAGGACATCCCAGAAGGATTTCCAAATGCCAGTGTAACTATGCAGGTTCCAGAGCGGATTGTAGTGGCAGGTATGTCTGCATTTCAATACAGGTGAAAATTTAAATTTGTGTCCCAGATTTCTGGATGGAAAAAAATATATATTGATGCATTTGTAAAAGAACAACCTATAAAATACTCTCTGGTTTTCAAACAGTTAATGCTCATTAAGTTTGACGTAGGAAGTTTCTTAAACTCTGAAAATGTTTTATTAATAGTTTTGGTGTAGCTTTTAATGGAGACAGTTAATGAATTAATTATGCACAGAAGGTTTAATTGCTGACATTTCATCTTACTAAACCATTTTTAGGGGAAAAAAGGTAATGTTTATTGATTTACACCTAATTTTTATTAATTAACTATAAGTTAAAGTAACTATAACAAGTTTTGGGGATCTGCTATATATATTAGTCACGCAAAATGTGTTTGATCATAATCAGAATTCTAATTATGTTAAGAACCTGTCTGTTATTGGGTGGACTCTATCAATATAGTATTTATGGTCATGGGCTTTACAGTGACAGACCTGGAACTGCTGAAGGTCTTGCAATTTGCAAAATGTGTGACGTGTATATTTTATGCCTTGACATCCCCAGTCAAATACACCATTAATAGAACTTTGTCTTGAGTGCTCTCACTTGCAATAGCAGTTGATGTGGCTCAGGATTACTCAGGATCATTGTTCTCAGAGAAACTGCTCAAATAATTGTCAATAATGTGGTCTTTATGAGAGCTTTACCAATAGTTTTTAACATACAAGACCTGTTAAGTAAAGTTATACTTCATTATTTGGCGTGGGCCAGGGAAGTAACTGCTGTTACTTTTGCTGTCTTTTTGAACTTTAGCATTGGCCCTCAGGCCTCAGAACGGTTTACTTGCTATTGACATCTGATGTTCTTGCAGGTAATAGTGAAGACATTCCATTTTCCAGACCAGCAGACCTTGACATTCTTCAATCTACTCCATTCAAACCACTGGCACTGAAAACTCCTCCCCGTGTTATTTCTCTTAGTGATCGACCGCTAGATTTTTTGGACCTAGAAAAACCTCCACAGCAGACACCTCAAAGTGAAGAGGCCAGTACTTCTTTTGCTTTTTCCTTAGATGAGGAGCATTCTACTACTAAAGAAAGTGAAATGACCAATGATTTCTCTACTGTGGTGAAGATCAACTTGGTGCTAACATAAGTTGGGAAAATCTAAAAATATTTTTATTAGCACTGTGGTACTTCTGATGATGCCTTTGAAGTGGCAGATGGCATGGGGCTGCCATGCTCAGTAGGCTTACTCAGTACTTACAAAAATAAAGTCATAATTAGAACTACTCAAAATACTTTTAAAAAACCATCCTTTTGATGAAGAGAAAACTGCAAGATTTTTTTTTAAATTTACAGATTATCAGAAAACAGACTAGAGAACTACACGTTCTTTTAATGTGTATAGTTGACCTCTGGACTTCATGGCCGGATGATATAACACCACACAGAATTAATGAGTTTTGTTAAAACTCTGAAAACCATCTTCATAGAATGGTATGACATTGGCATCCAGGTGAATGATGGTAATTGACATCTTAAAACCAGAAAAATATTTATGAAGCTGCATATTCTGTAGACTTACAAAATACAATAGAAATACATTTCTCTCTCATGATAGGAAGTAATCCCAGAATGGATAAGATTGGAAGGGACCACTAGAGGTCATCTAGTCCAACCTTCCCACGCAGGCAGGGTCTCCTAGAGCACATTATTCAGGATTGTGTCCAGAGGGCTTTTCAATATCTCCAGAGACTATTAAAAATTCTGTTGGTTCATCATTTTGGCATCAGATCACATGGATAGATAACAACAGGATTGCACTAAGGTTGGAGCTTGGTTTTACATGTACCAGCATCAAATCCTGTCATCAGTTGTTTTCCTCCTAATCATTGTGAAACCCATGAAAACGTGCCTTTGTATCTGAGGGCAGATCTAACCTACAGACCTCCACTGCACATTAGTGTGTCCTGGAACTCTCTGTCTTTTATGTCCCTCTCTCTCCCTTCGATGCAGGTCCGCTCAGTGGGAAGACTGAAGAGAGAACGTTCCATGAGCGAAAACGCCACGCGGCAGAACGGCCAACTGGCCCGGAATGACTCCATGTGAGTAGGGCAACAGAGTGCAGGGACACTACTAGAACTGTGTTACACATCTCCTTTGTTCCTTATCTCCTTGTTATTTGCTTTTTCCAACTAATATTTTGTATGTTGTGGCAAGTACATCATTTTAACAATTACAAGGCCAGCATTTTTCTAATTTTTATGCTTTTTGTTTAGTGAGGTGAGTAATTTGTGAAGTATTTTCTTGCAGTGGATAGGTGGGGGTGTTTGTAGGTTCACAGTTTCACCAGTTACCATCAATTGTTATTTCAGGAGATTTTTCAGTTTCTGAGTTGGTAGAATATTTTTTTCCCCTGAATTTTCAAGAAATTGAGTTCTCTGTACATCAAAATGTTCCCAGTTCTCTCACTGTTGATATTATAATGATTTTCACTCTTAGAAGAAGGAGTATTTTTATTTCCTCATAAGTATTAGAATGAGTAATTTTTCTGTGGTATCAATGTGTTTAATATATTGGAATCTGTCAGTATATATCTTAACCTTTTGAGACCAAAATAGCAGGTAGCATTTAGAATTGGAAACTTCATCTATTGTTACCATCCAAGGTAGTAATTCTTAGGGTGCTTTCTGAAGACATACATGCCTGTAAATTTTTATTGGATATGATGGCTTTTGATTAATCTCAGTTTATTCTGAGTGACAGCATCTTTCCACCTGGAAATAACTGGTTTTGCAATGTAACACTTAGGAATCTTTTATATGTGAGTTTTAATACAGCTGCCATAAGGAATACTTGCTGTAGAAAAGATTTTAGATTTAAGACTTAAAGATGGGATTCGTTTGTCCCAATGTAGACTGTACAACAGTATTGCTAGATCACCATAAAGTTAATATTCAGTAACGAGGAAAATAAGTACATGACCTACTTTGGATCTACCTATTTTTAATCTAAAGTAGATCAAGTGAATTATGCCCTAGAAATGCCTGTTTTCTTCTATTTAGAGCAAGGGCACTATGTACTACATATCTGTCTACCTATTAGTTTGTCTAAAACTAGTGAAATGGACTCTGCACATTCCAGACATAAGTCTCCTTCTCTTCTTCCACATCTTTATGGAAATGTTGTTTCATATCTTCCTCTTCTTAATCAGACTTCTGGTTCATACGAGCTTGTAGATTGCACATGTCTAGGCACTCAAGTCTGCAGAGTCACACATATTCACTGAGCTGGCAAAACTAGATTTGCATCCTTATCTCCTGCTCAGCTCAGTCTCCAGGTGTTCTATCAGCCTACTAAGTGCCCAAGTTCCCTGTGGTATCAGTTGTCCAGTTATGTCCTGTTGAACCAGACATACTGGAGTTTCACTGCAGGAATGGCTTTCTCTATCCTGTCTGATGGCTTGCACATGGTACATGATGGTCTTTTTGTGATGGAAGCTGCTTGGGAAAACATTGATCCCTTTGCTGCTGCCAGTGCTGCTTTGCCAGTATTGACATATTTGATGTATTGCACTTAAAGCAAGAACAGATGGTACAGAAATTCTTGTGATTTCTTGATACTGCTTTACACTTGCTCCCAGGTTAGTTTAGTCTTACAAAAGCCATGGGCCATGTCTGCCCAGCCAGGCATCTGAGGAAATAGCAAGAGATCAGCTCTTGACTGGATGTATCCAGTTGCTGTCAGATTTCTCACATGTTGGAGTTTCTTGAATGTGGAAATCCTAAATCTCTAAAACTCGCCTGTGTGCTTTGCTGTCACTCAGTAGCTATGTATGGAATTACTGGTTTAAAATGGTCTGAATATTATTTGGTGTCATAGTTTTTGAATCTACTAGCAGTCCTTTAGAAGCTTAGCAATACAATATGCACCTGGAATCCTGTAAATTTAAAAAGGATATGATCAAAGAACCTATAACTGGTAGCTGGTGTGACTCAGTTTATCATTTACAAAAGCCAGAAAATTATGACAGCCCTGGAGAGTAGTTTTGCTCTCTTGATACCCATGCTAGTCCTTGCATAAGGTCTGTCACATAAATCAAACTTCCAATGCCAAGCACTTTACGTTATGCTTGTCCTTTCAATTGATCCAGGATCTCTTCTCTTGCTTGCATGAAAAATCCCAGCTGGCTCATACTGACCCTGCTGTATCCACACTCTCTGCTGCCCATGTGGAAGAAGCTATCCTTCCCCACTGCAGCATTCCACACTTGCTGACCTGCAGATGATGTATTTTAGTAGAAATTCATTTTTCTCTTGTCCTCCCAAGTTCTTGTTTCCTTATGAGAGAAGTTATGCTGTGTCTCAAGTATAGATCACATGCCTTGAAATCACTGAGGTTCCTAGAAATTGCTTCTTTCTCTGACACAATTGCTTCTTCTGACTTAGTACAATACAAAAGATGAAGTCGCTTTGAACATGCTATGGGTGTTTCTCCCTCATCTAGGTTTTGTTAGTCTTCAAGTGGAGAATGTGACTCTGGACTGGCTCACTCCAGGAGAGTGTTCTGTGAATTCAGGTTGCTGAAATACCATGTTCACAGGGGAACTTGTGTGGCTCACACAAATGCAGTAATTGTAAATACATGTAAATGTAATCTTTGTACTACAGAAAAGTAGTTGTGCACCTGTTACCTCATTTATATCACCTCGAAATTTCTTTACTATCTAGAAATACTATATCTTCCAATGGTACAAAGCCACAAGAAACTTACTGCACCTAAAGTTCTTACATGTAATGTTGTTGGCTGAAAAAAATAGCCTTTGTTATAGTTACTGTAATGATACATTGCTGCTTCATCAAAACTGGCTTGACTTGTGAATTCATATCATACCTACATAGTTTACTTGTGCAGTAACATGCTATGGTGCTGTAACTTGACAGAGATCAGCTCTTTATTCCTGTGCTTGTGTGAGTCTAGTTCACACCTTCAAATAGGGAAGAAAGTCCACGTTTTACTTGAAATATTAAATTCCTGTACAAAACCCAAAACCTTTTTTTTAAAACACTTGTTTCTCTTACCTCCTTGATTCAACTCCCTGACAGACATGATAGTCAGCTCAGATGCTGTGATGAGGACCCCATTAAAAGGCACAGGGAGCACTGCCTTTCAATGCCTTTGTTTTCTAAACAAGACTATGATTCTGAAGTTTTAATCTAGGACACTGTTGTCCTCTTTGTACAAAATATTCAGATGTACTGTGTGAAATTCCAGTGCTTGGCTTACAAAGTGACAAAATTGAATATTCTGGACTAGATTGTCAAATGGAAGCAGAGTTGGCTGGGCTCCCTATCACAGTGTTCTCCATATGGAACAAGTAGTTTCTCTTCTGTTGTCTTTCTTGTCATACAGTTGCATGCAGAGACAGTTCTGAGAATTTTTTGGCACTTAGGCTTCACTAAAGACAGTAATTCCCAAATGCTCTTAGAAATCCTGAGACTAACCTGCTGGTACAGTAACTGTCTGCATAGCAATAGTGACAGCTCTCTAAATTACGATCCCTCTATTTATAAGGATGCTTACTTAAGAGATTACAATTATTATTCAAGGTGGCACAGATCAGATACTGTCCCAAGAAATAAAATGCCACGGTTCCAGTCACCTCTTTCAACTAAGGATTGCACGTAAGCCTAAATGTTACCTGGTATATGAAAATCAAGAGTGTGTTTAATTATGTAGCTCTCTGCAATACTAATATTCTGACTAAGTATTTGTAGTTTAGAAGATAAAATTTGAAACAGCCTTTGCTACACTGAATGTGTGGTTTCTAATTTTGCTTCAGGGTTTCTCAAACTTGGCTATATCATTTCCCCCTGTAAAGAGCATAGGGAAAAATACCTGACAGCCGATGAAAGGGACAGTAAAAAAATTTCAAAATAGCTTTAGTTTGTTTGACTCTTTGTTCTTTGGCTGTTTTTGAATAGCTGGAGAAACAAAACATTTTGTTGGTCGTTGCCAGGCAATGTTGAATGCAAGGTTTCCACTTCTGTATTGGAAGTCACCAAATCACCAAGAGTGCATGGAAAAGTGGACAGCACTTTATTTTTTTTCTGTTCCAGCCTTTTCCATAGAAAAACACATCTCTCTAAAGAGTTCAATTTCACGGTTTGAGAAATTCTGTTCTTCATGCAAATCATGGAGAAAAGGTGATGGTGTGCATGTCTTTAACGAGAATACAGTCTGTCTATGTGCTTGAATTTACAGTAACCTTAACTAGTTAAATCTGTTTACCTCTCATTTCATACTTCCAGAACTGCAAGTCAGAGAAATACCTGAAATAAGGCCTGTGTACATCACAAATGCTTTGAGAAGTTTTAGGAGAGGTTACTTCTAAGCTAAGAACTCTGCATATAGCAGAATGTGCTCTTTCATAGTAATGACTGTAATTCCATGTTGTTTGGTTTGGTTCCAAACTCTGGAATTGACTGGTATTTGTAACTAGGGAGTGGTAAAATAAGTGGCTGGAGCAGTATGTAAGAATTCTTTTCAGAAATTTGAAACAAAGTTATACGTAGAACTAAGACCATTTAACTAGAAATGGAGAAGAGGCATAGCCACAACAATAAGTGTTCATACTAGATATTAGAGAACTTTCCTTATGTTAGAGATTTTTTTTTCTTTTGTCGTCTGGGCTGATTTGTATATCAGATAATTGCTTTATAATATTTCTTCTCCATGGTCTCTGACATAGTCCAAAGGACTACTATATGTTTACAGGACATAAATTTCAAACCCTGAAAAAACAAGATGGAAGAAAAATTTGGCTTCTCTCTCCCTGGCATTTGTGCTCTTCATGGAATTATTCTCAATTTTTGATTTTTCCTTATTATATACACTTTGAATTTAATCAGCACATGTAACTTAGTTCTAGGGAATTTTGTACAGTCGTTGTTAAATTAGGTTGGGGTTTTTTTCACTTCTTAAAATATTTTTTAGTATCTACAGAAGTCTTTGTGTGCAAATAACATGACTGTGGTATTTACAGTACTACCATTCTGGGCAACAGGAATTCCACAATGTCATCTATTTTGCAGTATGTCTAAATACTGTTTGCAAAACCATCTTTCAGCCTATTCTGTGCATATCTGAAGTGATGAACAGGAAAAATTGCTTTTGAAAATTGAAGTAAAATATACTATGTATTCAAGCCTTAAGCTCCTCTCTGGTTTGCCTCAAGCCAGCAAATCCACAAGGAGTAAAAATTCTCATAAATTCCCTTTAGTGGCAGTATTTCAATACTTGCCCCTACTTGATATTTTTCTAGTGATCATTGGCATTTCCAGCACAATTCAAGAGTAGAATGTGTAGGTGTGACCACTGTCATTGATTGCAAGGTAGAAGTCACCATAAATAGAGGAGAAAGGTGAATTCTGCAAGTCTTGGAGAACAATAAAAGCTGTAAAGAAGCAATAGTTATTTACTGATGTATCCTTCTTCTTACTTGCTGTTGTCCAAATGTACTCTAGTGCAGCATGAAAAGGAATCTGCAGTTCAGGTAATAAACAGTGCCCAGTGTCAGTCAGGCACCAGTCACTGCAGTCTTGGAGTTCCTTTGAAGCCCAGGATGGCTGAACTCTGCTGTGGATGAAGTGACATTCCTGTAACGTGTTTTCAATCAGTCTGTTCAACTGAATTGTCTTTCTTACTCGATTTTGTGATCTTGGTGCCAGCCAGTTGCAGAGCAACTCTGTTCAGTGTGAGAGTATCCTTAAAATTCTGACCCAGCTAGAGATTGTCCCAATATCAAACCAGCTTTCAAGCACTCAGCCACTAATGTTTTACTAAAAATGCCAGGGGCAGAGAGATTGACATTCTAAACTCAAAAGCCGTTGGAGCAAAGCACAAGGGGCAAGGAAATGTGTTGAATTATGGGTGCTAATCTAGGAATAAAAACTATCTCAATATTTAAAGGCTACAGTGGCTCACACTTGGTTTGCATTTGTGTTAATATGTACAACTAAGTTAACACAAATTTCTTCCTATTGAAAAAGCATCTCACCTTTAATTAAAGTTTCCAGATTAAAAACAAAAAAGAGCCTTTATATGTGTACGAAAATGTTGATAAAGTCAGTTAAAATGTAAAGAAACATGAGGAAATCACAGGCAGTTTATCAAAACTAATTTCTCTCTGATAGACAAGGTTTGTATAATCCAAATGATCATGTTTGAATTTCAGTCCTGCATATTTTAAGTAATATTTTTTGCATCATAGTCAACAAGTTAGATCATGTAATTTTTTTCACTGGAATTTGAATTTTGTGTTATTTTTTGAATTTTTTTGTAGTTGCCTTTAAACTTCTTCATGTGCGGACCAAAATACTAGCTTGATCTTTCATCACAGCTTCAAAACAATTTTATTGAAGGGGCTCTATGTGAGATTCTCCCTACTGAAAAAGGCTTATGTTTTTAAAAGAGATTGTGTAGGATTTTCTTAAAATGCTAATGCTTTGTAAGACAAAGCATTGATGTCACTGGGGACTTGAACACTGACTTCAACAGGTACAGATTTAGCTGTACAAGCACTTTCTAAAACTAACTTGTATAACAGATCAAAACTGTGTCCTTGGATTACATGTGTTTGTTTCTGAAGAACATATGTCAATGTAGCTCATAATCCCTACACTACTAAAATTTGAGAGTGTTACCTTATAGTGGTGGGAGAAGGGTAAACCAAAAGCAAGCAATAAGCATTTTGGAATGGGGTCTATCTGAAAAGCTTTTTTTAATTTAAAATCTGACTACAGTATTTCTCTCTTCATTTACTGTGCTTATACAAACAGTGTGACACCATCACTGCAACAGGCTCGTGTCTGTCCTCCCAATATGTTACCTGAAGACGGAATTAATCTTTACTCTGCTCGTGGCATTTTGTCGTTTATCCAGTCTTCCACTCGTAGGGCTTACCAGCAGGTCTTGGATGTGCTGGATGAAAACCGCAGGTGATTGGTTGTCACTGGTTCTTACCAGCTTTTGCTGCTTCTTTTTTTTTTTTTTCTGTTCTCCTTTTTAGTGGAGTTTGGTTTCTGTTTACAAAATAATGAGATGAAAATATTTGCTTTTGCTTTCCTTTGCTTTCACTCTTCATAAGCAATTTAAATGTCCAAAATTCACATTTCAAAATGCTTCTCTTTCAAAAATAGGGTTGTTTTGGTTCCCTTCCAAATAAAAATCAAAATAGGAAGGGTTAGCCTGTGGCTGCAGGGGGTTTTGCTCTTCTGAGATTGTCAGCGTTTTCTGCAATTAACACTTGACCCTGAGCCTGCAAATTTACTAGCCTTGTCTTCTGCTTTTCTGTTGGTGAGCAGTGGTGCAAATCAATAAGATTGGGTTGATGTTGTCATAAAGCATTAAAACAAATGTGCAGAAACGGGGCAGAATATCATGCAAGGCATTGTAGATGCTGCTTTTGGTAATGTGTCAAGACTTGAGGCTGTTTCAGTTTATATTGGGAATAGTTATCTCTGGCTGACACATGACTGATGGTGGCCACTTTGGATGCTGAGAGCAAGAAAGGCAATGAACACTGAGAAGCTGGTTGCTCCTCTGATTATTTCTGTCTCTGGTTTTATGGATAACCTGACACTTTGAGAGGTAATGAGCCAGAACAAGCCTCGTGGCAATCCCTGTACTTCCATTCTCTTCAGTGGAGTTTTGCCTGCTTGACGCATCCTTGGACTGTTGTGATTTGGCACTTGGAAGCATTACAAGAACGGCATGTTCAACACTGTAGAGACATCTACAAAGACTAATAATGGCAATGGTAATTTACCAAAAGCAATTTTCATTTCAATAGTATGCTAGCACAGAAATTCAAGTAAGAATTGCAGACAGTCTCTAGTGTAGGGTTATCTCAGACCTCTGGAGCTTGCCAAGAGGTTGAATTAGAGAAGATAATTGGCAAGATCATTGGGAGGAACTGCACATTGCTCCTGCAGCCCTTCAGTGTGGCCTGTGCTAGCAAGTTCTTTGAAATTTGCCATCTGCCTCTGCTGATATCCCAGCAGCATACTTAATATTTGTAGTGTGAAGTTAAATTATTTGCTTCCTGGTTGTTTTGGTAATGAAATGTGACTATCAAGCCAATCTTACTGTGAATGTCTGTGTGTTTGCAGTCACTTGCCAAACTGGCACCTCTGATAGCTCACCATGTTTGCTGATCTGACAGTAAATAAATGCCCATATTAACATCCCTGAATTGTAGAGAACTCCAATCTTGCTGGTCTTTATGTTCTTAAACTGGGACTCAAAAAAATCAAACCAACAAAATTAGCTGCATACTTCCCCGTGAAATTCTGCAAGTTGGATGCTTAACTGTAGCTGTTAAAATTTTGATGCCTGTCAACAGTTGGGCATCAATAACTTCTTTTCTTTTTCAATATTAAAATGAGATGGAATTACATGTTTGTTTTACTAAACTAAAGCTCCCAGATAAGGAATTGTACTGTCTGTGAACAGTAGCACTTACAGATACTGTGCCAAGAATCCTTGTTAAAATATAGATTGAAATTCTAGTCCTTTTCTCCGTCTGCAGTGAAGCTACAGGTTTTATTCCTGGCTTCCATTACGCACGTTCATGCCTATGTTTTCTTGGAGTCTGGAAAACAAACACATGTGCATACATACACTTTCAGCTTACTTCCATTATCAGAAAATTTCTAGAATACTGAATACTTCAAAAGCTGCATTACTTACCCTGGTTTGGGTTAATTTTTGAGGTTTTCTCACTAACCTTCCTAGAAGGAATGGGAAACCTGTTTCTAGTCACCTATGGACAAATAGGTGCCAAACGAATGAACTCTTCAATGAGGTGGAAGTGTATTCTTTGTGGCTGGGTGTTCAGACACCCACCATTACATCTGGCTTAGGAATGTGAAATTTGGATGATCCACTTGCATGGTTGCAAAATATTGTTCATTTTAAATTGCTCCAAACCTGCACTCTGTTCTTTTGCTCTGTGTAACGTGCTTTCTATCTCAAAACCTTATCTCTTTTAACATGTTATGCTTAATACTAGAAGGGATCTTTTAAAGTTAACAAGATCTGGCTGTGGGTTACTCACTGGAAATATTTTTAACTTGTTTCATGGCTTGTCTTTTTTTTTTTCCCCACCCAAACATTTTCCAATCCACTAAAACTGCTAACGGTAGGTGCTGATTGTCCTGCTGCAGAGAATGAGTTATGCCTAGTTCAGCCAGCACTGCTCACATCATGGTTATTTAAATGAGCAACAATTTAATGATCACTGTTTACACTGTCTGTTTACTCTTGCATTTCCTTCAGCTTGGACAAGGACAATAGGTCAGTTTTGTTTTCTAACCCTTTTTCTGTTTCAATTTCTTTCAAATGACTGTAGGGCCTATGCCTATTGAGTGCCCTTCAAAGACTGATCCTTTATGCTCTAGGCAACAAAAAAATCCAAAACCAACCAAACCAACAAGCCCCCAGAAAACTCCCTGCATTTAAGGAGATTTTAGAGATGTCTAAAATGCAGGAACAAAGGCAATTTCATATCTGTATAGAGTTGTGTTGAAATCTGTACTTTATCTAAAATGTTCTTCATCTCTTGGGTCAGCACCTTTCTATTTACGAGAAAAAAGCATGAAAACTTAATATTTCCATTATGGTATCTCTTCTAAAAAGCCACCATCCTTTTTAAATGCCAAACTTCACCCACATAATCTCATCCTGAGATGTAACGAAATCATTTTTTATATTGAGAAAATTAATTATATTTTTCATTGTAGAAATAAAATGGGATGCAAGTTAAGGCCATCCAAGAGGGCTACATCTGACTTTGGACTGGGGTAATTTCAGAAGAAAATGAAGTGGGTCTGCAGATGTGAAGGAGGCTGGAAAAGCAGTAGCTATTGCTGTTTGAAGTAACTGCTTGTAGCACTGAGGCAGGCAAGGGGAGCAGTTTGATCCAGTCACTGTCCTCTCTGTACTTTAGAAGCTTACCCAGTTCATGTCCAGAACTTGTCCATCAAGTCCTACTGCCCATTGTTATGGCTTCTGTGAGACTTCCAGAGGTGTTTTAAAGTACAGCAAGAGGTGAACACAGGTACTGCCTCTGCTGAGCAGAGAGTGTGTGCTGGTCTCAGTCCCCTGTGTGCAGGCACAGGAGTGGTGCAGGTTGGACCCAGGTACTGAGATTGTCCACACTTTGCTGTTTTCCTCCCAGCCCATGTGTTTGATTCCATCCTCACTGTGTTCCTGTTGCATGCTCTGCTCTAACCAGCAGAAGACAGACCAGGCTCAGTTGGTCATTGCCTTAGTGCCACTTTTCCCACTGTTATTAAATTGTATTACTGTGCATTCCCCTCAAGTATCAGGCTGCTGCTGTATTTGCAGGGAGTACACGTGACCTTGGAGCTATGGCTTCTTCTGATCGTGCATTAATGTTTAGGATGGCATTCACAGAAGTAGCCAGAAAACTCAAAGTTCTATGGTACACTTCTTTTTAAAGAAGGCCACGTATTTAATAGCTTTCCTATATTATACTTGCGCATTCTGTATTTAGCAAAAAACTTGGTGCTGATTTTGGGGTAAGGTGATCTCAATTACAAAGCCACTATGATCTGTATAATTAATTCTGATATATAAAACCAAGCAAGGAGTGCAGAAGAGGTAGGGGAATATTGTGGTGTTCCTTTTGGGTCCACCTGTAAAGAAAAAATGTGAACTGCAAAGAAAAGGAAGAAATCACAGGCAGCTTCCTAACAGCCTGGCTGTATTGGGAAGTGGGATTAAAGACTTGCACAGATCCCAGAGTGCTCTGGGTTTGTGCCTTGCTGTAGCCCTCAACTGCCTCCAAGGCTGTGGCTTTCCTTGGAAAGGGTTTGTGAATTAATATTCATTAATTCTACAACATCTGTAAAACTCTGCCGAAAAATAGCACAGAAGGCTGAGTTTAGAGAGCATTTGAGACCTATTGTTCTCATTACACGAGTTCCAAATGTTGTCCTGTGGGACAACAGTGTGGGAAATGCCTGTTGGATACTGGCACACTGGCATTCCCATGTCTGCCCATTAGTTACAGGTGACTTATGTTGGCAGAGAAATTCTGGGACCTTTTCCATTGCTGCTGTTTGCTCCATTTCTTACATTTTCTCAAAGTATGTAGTTGTAGCATCTGTCAGAGAATACTTCAGGCCACCTGAATTATTGCTCTTATTAGGAATACCTTTTTTTTTTGATAACTTTTTGGAAGACCTCATGCATTTAGGTAAGAATATTCTGTTAGTGTATGTATTGGAAATGGGTCTTCCTGTTCTGTAAAACACATCATGCTGGCTTGTCTTAAGTACTAGAGGGAAGAACATTTGTGGTGCTGACTAGAGTAGGACCTAGTCCTAGTAAGTATTGCATCAGGTAGCAGTGTTTGCCAAGGCTCCTAGAATCCTGATCCTTTTAAGTGAAACTCATGGTTGTGATATTTTTGCATGGTCCTTGCTGGTTTTCAGGCCAGTCCAGTGTTCTCCCAGCTACCTCAGCACCAGAGCTCTGCCTCTTACATGTACCTGCTGTAAAGATCTTCATACCAAGGTTCTCTCTGTTTAATGTTACAGCCTGCAGTATACGTGGGTTAATTGCATGGTACAAGTATCTCCAGTTGGCATTGGGAAAATGAAAGGGATTTCAGGCTCCTGAACAGTTTGTTCCACATCTGTGATGTGCAATATTAATCCCTTGTTACCAGAGGCACTGAAAACACACAGTACCAGCTTGGTCAGAAGGTACTGCTGGTATTCACCTCTTCTGTAAACTGCAACACGGGAGCTTCTTACTGCAAACCTAATGTATATTATAGAGTTGCAGCAATTTAAAAAGCCCTACCTTTCCTTCCTCTTTGCCTAGAAAGAAAAAGGAAAAGAAATTTAAAGAGCAACACTTACAAGGATGTTCATACATCCACTTGAACCTTGTAGTCACTTCTCCCTGGAGAGGTGTACCTCTCTTCAGACTATCCATGGTCCTTAGGTACTAGCCCAGGTGTTCTAATGATATCTAAATTATATCTAGCATAGATGAATACAGAAAAGACAAATCTCCCCTTTCCCTGGAGGGAGGAGAGGATGATTAAAAGGGCTTTTAAAAGTGTGTAAATATATTTATTGTTTACCCATTGTTGTTGGGTGAGATTTTTAGTTTTGAGGGGTATTTTTTTTTGTTTTCTTAACTGGAAGTTTCCCATGGTTATTTTATAAGGCTGATGCTCTCCACCCAAATCTCTGTTCTGCTACTTTGTCTGTATCGTCAAAGCCTTGTTACACTTCTAAGCTGCAAAAACATTGTGTTGATTAAATTTGATAAGAAGAATATGAAAGTGCAATTTACAAGAAAATAAATAGAAGGTATATTGTATGAAAACATTATAGAGTATATGTGGAAGTATTTTGAAGTTCCTTTGTTCTGTGTGTTTTACCTCTTATCTCTGTTTGTCGTTTCCTCTTTCTGTCTCGTGCTTTCTATCTACACAAACCTGCTGTAGGCCAGTGTTACGTGGTGGGTCAGCTGCTACCACTTCCTCTAACCCTCATCATGACAACACCAGGTAAAGAGTATTTTTTTGTTAGTCATGACCCCCTAATTTAGATTCTAAAATTCAAGTTTCTGTTTCCCTCTTTCTAGTGATCTTATTTTAAAACACAATATTTTTGTGCTCCCTCTCAACTCATGAGATATTTCAGGCCTTTATTCCTTACCCATCCAAGTCACCCGCACAGGCCTCAGTTGTCCAATAGATACAACGTGCTGCAGAATTCTGACTCAGACTAATGTGTGAGAGGAAGCTCTGAAATTACATTGGCAGTATAGTTTAGATATTTGCTATTTAGTCATGAGCTTGCTAGAAAATTTGGCTTTATATCACCTAATTTTCGCAGGTGTTCTCAGTAACATGCCTGCAACCATTACTTGTGGCTGGATGCCTTTTCCCTGCCACTGTCCTGGCAGATTGACATTGTTTCAGTGGAACTGGATGTAAGAGTGACACATAATCTCATGGGCAGGATGATGGAAAAAAAATAGTCCCTTCTACATCTGTTGTTTCCATTTGCTGTTTACAATTCCATGTTTTCATAGAAATGGAGGTTAGATTTGGGCTTAAATAGAAACTGGATTCAAGCAGGTGACTCTTCTGTAACTCCATAATTCAGTTTTTGGAATGGTCCAAGAGATATCTCAAGGGATTTCATTCTGGTAACCCTCTTAATATAATATCTGTAATGGTTTGGAAGTTGGTAGAGCAGCAGTGATACACTGTGACTTATATTAAATTGGTGTGACCTGGGAGGGAGCCATGCCCATCTCACTGAAATGCTGAGCCTCCCTGCCTGTCTCAGGAGATGGTGAAGGACAACTGTGTTGTAGATATGGTGGAATTTTGTAAATTTTTTACTGTCTACTACAAATAAAAAATTGGCCATGAGAACACCCTCATCAGAAATCTCTTTGGATTTCAGAGGACCTGTAGAGTAAGGAGAATTTGATTTATTTTTTTGAGTGTGCAAAGCTCAAGGATCTCATATTTATTCTAAGTCCAGACTAACGCAACTCTGATGTAGAAATAGCAATTCCTATTTAGAAACAATGTATTAACAAACAGTAATACATGGAAACTTGATGGTTTGTCTGTTTGGGGGGGAGGGTGTTGCCTGAGCTAAGGGCATTCTAGAGAAGTTTCCTGAAAGTGATGAAAGAACATAAAGTGCAAAAGTAGTTTCTGCACTTAAGTGCATTCTGCAAGCTTCAGGCATTCTACTCATATTCTCACTAGTTGACCATTAACTGTTATTAAATGTTAAACATTCTTTTAGATGTGTTTTGTTGTGAATTTGGTAGCCTTGACATTATTTTGTTCCATTTCCTAAGCTGTTTGCAGCAATTGTTCATGGGTCCTAATGAGAAAGCAAGTCAAGGGGAGCTAAAATTGAAACCAGGTTTAAGATAGAAAGTGAGAAGCTCAAGGGTAGGTGGAGGATCCTAACAGGTGGATTTACCTGTTAGTTGTTGGAAATGAATCTGGTTAAGAGATAGCACTTGGATAATCAAAACAGATTATCCCTGGAGTTAGAATAATGCTCTATCTGAATTGCTACATAAACTGAGAGTACCCTGAGAACAAACTTTCTAATGCACACAAAGTTCAGCAAGCAGTGAGTGATTCTGCACTGCACTCTTTATTTGCCAGGTTCTCTACCTATAATACTGAGAGTAATGTGACTGAGGTTCTTAATCTCAGTAAATGTCCCCTTGGGATATTTAAGTAGGTACTGAGCATAAGACACCCAATTCTTTCCAAGTCTCCATTTGGTTATTTCTACTCTGTTGCCAGGTCTCTTGCAACTGGCGCTTTAGCTCAGGCAATGTTCAGGTTTCGTGAATCAGTTAAATAACTGGAAAGTCTTATGAGGAACTGCATGTCAGCAAGAAGTCTGTCTGTGTGGAAAATCTTCAAAAATATTTAAATGTGGAGAGCAATCAACCCAGATTCAGTGAAGCACTTACCCATTTCATATGCATTTGTGCTTTACTCAGTTAGGATCCCACTGAAATATGGCCCTGTATAAAATAATATAAAATAATGGCCCATCTTCGCGAACGAAGATTTGGGGAAAGGTCTTTTTACCTTTCCAGCCTGCGCAATGGATTTTTTAGGTGAGACACAGCCTGCGCTGAACTGAGCCCACCCTTTAATCCTAAGGTTCGTCTGCCGGGGCCAAGCAAGCTTGGACAATGGCAGTGAGGTCCTCAGGATGTAGGTTTGTTTAGAGTGTCCTTCTCATAGATGGATGGCCTCACAGGGCTAACGACCTCCATCAGGCCAGGAGACCGGGGACTCGAACCCGTGGTCGCAGCAGTGAAAGTCCTGCACGCTAACCACTAGGCCACCAGGGGCCCTGTAACAGCTGCAAAAAAACTTTATAGTTCTTCATCACCATCAAGAAATACATCTACTGGAATGTTGGTAAAATATGGTACTTGCTAATGTTTGTGTGGCCGAACAGATAAGCCATCTTCTTTGTTTGATAGATATGGTCTCACCAACTTCGACACGACACTCGAGGGAACACCAGATGACATGACAGTTGTAGATGCTGCTTCTTTAAGAAGACAGGTACGTAGAGCCCAGTAGTTGACAATATTAAGACAAAGCTGTAGTGGTAAAATGGGGTAACAGGTTTTTTGTGTGACTGCAAAGGTATCCAAAACAGGTATGGTCAGGGATCCTCTCTGTGCCCCTGCTGGACTGCCCTCACATTCCCTATATTGTTCTGGGAATCTAGAGAATCTGACTCCATTTCTGTTCCTACTTACTAGGAGCAGCAAGATCTGAAGATAGGAAGTCAAATTATCAACTGTTTAACATCCATCTCTTTGGGATTCTAATCTTATGTAGTTATTCAGAAGCTTCTAGAAAGTCTGGCCACTTTTAATAAAGTATTAAAAGCCTTTATTTGTTTTTAGATAATCAAACTTAATCGCCGTCTACAACTTCTGGAAGAGGAGAACAAAGAGCGAGCCAAGAGGGAAATGATCATGTACTCAATTACTGTAGCTTTCTGGCTACTCAATAGCTGGCTTTGGTTTCGGCGCTAGACATGGCTCTTGGAAAGATTTCGTAGTTGAAAACACAAACAATTTGCAAAACTCCTTGTTTCTGTTTCTGAAATTGTATGCTGTTTTATAATTCATACACTGGAAACTTCCACCACAGATAAAGGCTCTAGAATTGCAGTGTTAAAGGGACACCTTGTTGTTCAGTTGTAACGTATTTAATAGATTTGCATTGCAAATACTGCAGTATCCTCCTTTGCATGCTTCTGTGTAAACATGGATCAGCCCATGGGAAGTTTGCTTCATGCAGTGTAAGGACTCCTAAGTAACCTCCAGGACTAACCACTGGAGGTTTTGTTGTGGCGGGAAGAGAACAAATAGAATGGGTTTGGAAAAAAAATACAAAAACAAAGAAATGCAAAGTCATTTTTATTGTTCTGTTGTTAGATGCAATTAAACAATTGCACTAGTTTTCCTTTAGTCCAAGTAGTTTGAGGTGTGCCATAATCAAGGAGTGTGTCCTGTTTATGAGTATGTTCCTTGTTTAAGTACTTGTTTGGGTCGAATAATAAAAGGAATTCTTTGCTAACATGCAGATTGTCCAGAGGTGTGTAATATGTACTTTTTTTAGGTTTAATTTTGCAGATGTTTTTCTAAAAAATACATTTTTAAGCAAGTCAGTCTGTGAGTGGTCAAAAGATTATGGAGTACAAGATATTGATGTAGTATATTTAATAAAACTCTCTCAAAAAAAACCCCAACCCCAACCCATTGTTTAATATTATTTTAAGAAAACTTATTTGAGGTTTCGTCTAAACTATTAGTCTTTGAAGTAACTAGTAGTGGTGGCCTGAACAGCTCCAAAGCAGCAGGGGGGCATGTGCCAGCCCATTGTGGGCTCCCTTCCCCTGCCTGTTGTGGTGGTGGTGGTGTTCGGGAAGCCAGGCTGCTGTCCCCCAGCACTGGGTCAGTTTAAACATCCCCTGCTCATCCCATGATCCAGCACCTTTTTTTGTAGACACTGTGTGGGTGGTGCTGGTGGCTTTGTGCCCCTGCAAGGCTTCAACTGCCACTGCCCTGCAGTGCTGTACAGCCACAGCCCCTTCCCTAGGGAGTATGGAACAACTGAGACTGTCAGTGTGCAATGACACCAAAACACTGCTCAAAGGCAACCTTCCTTAGAACAGCTGGACCCAGACCACTGTGCAGGACTGTTCTTTGGGCTCTAGAGGTGCACAGACAGGTGAAGAGATGATGATCCTCGGTGGCTGCAGAAGAGAAGGACCCAGAGCCTATTTCACCGCTGTCCTCGCTCACCCTGCAGCATAGAGGGCACGGAACAGTCCCGGGGCTGCCTCTGTACAGAGGGACCCCGGGCTGGGATGAACACGGGTGCCCAGCACAGCTGGTCCTGGTAAGGACAGGTGGTTCTGGGAGCATCAGCATGAGGAGCCCTAAGGATTTTGATATCAGCGCTGCAAGTGCCTGAAAGAATGCTGCCCTCAAACATTTCCTGTGCTCTTTGTGTCCTCTTGGTGGTGTGTGGCTGCTGCCCTGCTGTACAGGCTGCTGTCCCTGCTTCCTTGGCTTCTCTGCATATGGCTGTGGCATATGTGTATTATGTAATTCCATCGGCTAATTTGGGGTGTTTGCTGTGCATGTTTTCTTATCATGAATGTTGAAGTGCGTGCCTTTGTCTTTTAGTGAAAGACACTATGAAGGGCCAGGCCTGCTTTGCACATTTTCTGTATTTTCATGAGTTTTATACCATGACCTTTATGCTGAAGGTGTACTGTATGAACTCTGATGGTGCAAATGAGGGTTGAGAGATTGTACAAAGAATTGTACAGGCGATACTTAAAAATAAAGCTTCTTCTAAGGGCACAAAACCGGACTTTGTCTTGCACGTGGGAATGGAACTCGACGAGATTTCAGGAACGCCTCCCCTGAGGGGCCGCCCGTGGGGCACGTTCGGGGAGAGCCGCTGCCCCGGGACCCGCCCGGAGCTCCTCGGTCACACCGGGACCCGCTCCGGGTCCTTCGGTCCCCCCGCGCCGCCGCTCCGCCCTCCCAGGGCTCTCCCGCCCCGAGGGCCGGTGGGAGCCCGGCCTGAGGGTCCCGCCCCGAAACACCCCGAGGGCCCAAGCCGGGACCCCTGGCGTTGCACTGCCCCGCTCCTGGCCCCGCTCCTCTCCCCGGCAGTGCCCAGCAGTGCCCCGAGCTGGTTCCGCTGCCCCGGCCGGGAGCGCTTCCTCCCGGAACCAGCGGGGCGGTCCCTGCCCGTCCCTGCCCACACCCGCCATGGCCGCGCGGCTGCTCCTGCGGGCGGCGCGGCCGCTCCTGCCCCCGGCCGGGCCCGGGCGGGGCGTGCTGGGCACCGCGCTCGGGGCCGCGTTCAGCTCCGGGCCGCCCCCCGAGAAGAAGCGATGGCTCCGAGCGTACCTGGAGATGCAGCGGCTACAGGCGCCGCCGCAGCGGCGGTGAGGGCCGTGCGGGGGAGGGCGGGGCTGGGGGAAGGGATGCAAGAACGGCCCCAGAAATCGGGAAAATCAAAACGTTTAGGAGCGGGATGGGTTTGGCTCCGCAGGTCGGCGTAGCCCCGGTTGAACGTGGCAGACGGGGTGATGGGGAACCAGCATGATGCGGATTGAAATACTGGGTTTGGTGTTCAGACATGGTTCAGTTTTTCGTTCCCTGTGGAGCAGCCCGAGGGCGCGGTGCTGCTCGCGGGTAACTCACTCTGTCCCTGAGCCCGTGTCCTTCCCGCAGGTCCGAGCAGCCCAACTGGGATTACCACGCCGAGATCCAGGCCTTCAGCCACCGCCTGCAGGAGAACTTCTCTCTGGACCTTCTCAAGACGGCGTTTGTCAATCCCTGTTACATCGAGAGCGAGGAGGCGAGGCGCCGGCAGCTCGGCGTGGACAAGGACGCGGTTGCCCTCAGCCTCCAGGATAACACCAGACTTGCGGAGCAGGGGCTGCGCTTCGCCCGTGCTTACCTGACACAGTGCTTTGAGGGCGCCTACCCACATTTACCTGCCAAGGGCGTAGAAGCGCTTGTTAATTTTCTTACCGGTCAGGAACTACTCTCGTACGTGGCTCAAAATCTGGCTATCCAGGACCTGGCGCTTTGCAGGGACTTTCCCGCCCCACCACAAGTGCTGCAGAGGACGTTCCTCGCGGTGATAGGAGCCCTACTGGAGAGCAGCGGGTCAGAGAGAACAGGCATCTTTGTCCGGGTAGGTCCAGTAAACATTGTTTTGTACCTCCATCCGGGGACATCGGCAGAAGTTTGACAGTACCTGTAACAAGACAATTTAATAATGAGATCTGTTGGTTGGTGGCGGTGGTCAGGTGGGGTTTGGGGATTTTTGTGTTGGGTTTTATTTCATTGAGAAGCACGGGCTGATCGAGTGCATAAAATCATACATTTCTGGTTTATAATGGTGATATTAGTATTTGCTGACACTTGCTAAGGGAAAGCATTATATTCCATGCACTATACTATCAGATAATGAAATTATTCCATGTGAGATCACATATATCTTAAATTAAAAAAAAAATTATATAAACAGGGACTGAGTTTATAGGTTTTGCATGTAGGAGTGCGAGCACCTAAAGACATTTCATACAAAAGTGTTGAATTCAGTGTAACAAAGTAGTTTTAGTAGCTATTGTAATTTCAGTCATGCCTTTAACTTATTTTTAGTTTTGCGATGGAGAAACGTTTGTTAAAATCTTCTTTCTCCTACAAGACTATTGGGAGGTCTCTTTAAGAGCAACTAGCAGTTTACAGGCAAGAGAATAATCCAAACAGGTTGAAGTCCTAAGGATTTGCCTGTTCCCTTCAGCCTGTGTGCAGAACTCAAGCTCTTGCTTAGCCCCAGCCTGTTGCTGAACTCGTGCTCATGTCTGTGCACAAGCATTGTCACAGGTCCTCTCTCAGGCTGGTTCTGTCCCTTCCCTGGGTCTGGGGGCTCACTTTGCTCCGGACACACGTCTGTCAGTGGCTAAACCAGAACCAGAGCTGCCCAGTGTATCAGCTCTGCTGCGCTGGGATGGGGCGCTGAGGCAGCTGCCTCGTTCATTTCACAGTTTATTGTCAACTCTATTAACGCCTCTTCACACTGTATTTTCATTAGGAGACACCTGAAGTTCAAGCCATTAATTGCAATATCTAAATATTCTTGTTTAGGACTTCTTAATTCCCCAGCTGATTGGAAAAGACCTGTTTGAGATCTGGGAAGTTGTAAATCCTATGGGCTTACTGGTGGAAGAACTGACCAAGAGGAATATCTCTGCTCCAGAACCAAGAATTACCAGACAGTTGGGAGTCAGCACAGTTCTGCCAGTGTACTTTGTTGGGTTGTACTGGTTAGTACAATATTAATTTAAAATGACATGGATTTAATTGGGGGAGAGGGGAGGAGGGAAGATGATCTTTTCTACTCATATGCTTTTTGGTCAAGTTGTTAGAGAAAAGAAACCTTACAGTGACTTCTATATAAAATCAGCCATTTGAGTGTTGGCCATAGCTGAGTGGTGATGCATAGACAGTCTCTGACTAAAGGGCTTCAGAGGCTAAATGGGATGCACCAGAGAGCCTGGGTGTGTGTTCTGGGTGACCTGTCACGGGAACTTTGTGAATATCATAAGTGGATGGCTGTGCAGGGATCACATATCCAGGGCTTTGGGAAGGGTAGAGTCATCGAGGGAGGTGGGATTAAAGAGAGTCTCATTTTATATTCCAGAGAAGGTTTTTAATTTTCAAATCACAGGCACTAAAAACTAGGCAAGAGGAGTGTCTGTGTCCAGGGAAGACTTAGGAAGTGCCGGTTTTCCCTGGTGCATTTGTGTCAGGTGCAGTCAGCCCTTGTCCTGGTCTCTTGCCCCAGGGTGACATCGCTTCTGTGGGGCAGGACAAAACCCACATTGCTGCTGCTTTGCTAAATGAGCTGCAGATAAACACGTGGGAAGGTTGCCTTAACTTGTTCTGATTTATCATGCTTTGGTTTATATGCCTTCTAGGATTTATCTTATAGAAAAGAAAGGAACTTGGATTATTTTTCTTCTGGGATCCCTGGTGTCCCTTCACAAACTGCTCCTATTCAGTGCCCACAGGTGTTGATTAAACAGAGCTGAGCACGTGCTTTATAACAGAGAGAGTTTTGCTATCAGTCCTTTTGAAGCAGTTTGAAAATGCTTCCTTACCAGGGGAGGAGACAAGACAAAGGCATTTCAGTTCCTGTTTAAGTGAACCAGAGTAACAAATTTGCATATTTTAACAGGGTTAACAAATTTAATGCTGTAAAGAATCAGTGATATGCTAGGAATGTAAATGAACAGAGTGGTGTTATTCCAAGAAATGGACACATTTCTGACCTGAGTTTCCATTGTTGAACATACAATCACTTATCTTTGCAGGAAAGACCAACAGGAATGTTTAGATTGTGTGTATGTAGAAATAATCTTCAGTATTCACAGAATACTGGAGAAAAAAACACTCTATTATTTTTCATGGTACGCAGCAGTGCTGATGATTTCATGATGAAAATGTTTGTAATTTTATTTTCTTTTCCCCAAGTGATAAGAAGATTTTAGCTGAAGGCCCTGGGGAGACACTGCTCGCTGCAGAGGAAGAAGCTGCGCGGGTGGCCCTGCGGAAGCTCTACGGGTACACAGAGAACAGGAGGCCTTGGGACTACTCAAAACCCAAACAAGGATTGGCAGCTGAAAAGGCAATC